CAGTTGTTGGTAGTTGTGAGTTTGTTGTCATTTTACTGTTCATAGTTTTATATCTTCTTTTTCTTAGATAAGGCCCTTTGATGTTTCATATAATAAAGGCTTGGTGATGATGAACTCCTTTAACTTGACCTTCTCTGGGCAGCAGTTTTATCTGCCCTTCCATTCTAACTGATAGCTTTGCTGTATAGAGTAATCTTGGATGTAGGGCCTTGTCTTTCATGACTTTGAATACTTCTTTCCAGCCCCTTCTTGCCTGCAAGGTTTCTTTTGAGCAATCAGCTGATAGTCTTACGGGAACTCCTTTGTGGGTATTGTCTCCTTTTCTCTTGCTGCTTTGAAGATTCTCTCCTTATCTTTAATCTTGGTTAATGTAATTATGATGTGCCTTGGTGTGTGCTTCCTTGGTCCAACTTCTTTGGGACTTTCTGAGCTTCCTGGATCTCCTGGAAGTCTATTTCCTTGGCCAGCTTGGGGGAGTTCTCCTTGATTACTTTTTCAAATAAGTTTTCAATTTCTTGCTGTTCTTCTCCTTCTGGCACCCCTAGGATTCAGATGTTGGAATCTTTAAAATTGTCCCAGAGGTTCCTAATCTCTCATTTTTTTGAATTCTAGTTTCTTCATTCTGTTCTGGTTGAACGTGTATCTTTTCCGTCTGCTCCCAATTGTTGATTTGAGTCCCGGTTTCCTTCCCTTTTACTGTTGCTTCCCTGTGTCTTTTTCTTTGTTTCACTTTGCATAGCCTTCACTTTTTTCTCCATTTTGCGACCATACTCAACCAATTCAGTGAACATCTAGATTACCAGTGTTTTGAACTATATATCTGATAGATTGGCTACCTGTTCATCACCTAGTTCTGCTTTTGGAGCTTTGATCTGTTCTTTCATTTGGGCCATATTTCTTTGTCTCAGAGTGCCTGTTAGGTTGGGAGTGGCGGAGCCTTAGGTATTTGCCAGGGTGGGGCAACCCAGGTCACTGCGTTGTGGCCCTGTATATGGGAGAGGGGTCCAAGAGGGAACAATGCTGCTTGTTCTGCTCTCGGCAGGCTTTTGGTCACTTCCCCCGCTACCCACAAGCAAATTGGGCCCTTTTGGTGCTGATTCCCAGGTGGGTGGGTTTGTGTACGGTCTAGGACCCTGTGGGTCACGCCAACAAACTCTCCTATGAGGCTGGGAGTTTCTCCTGCTGCCATATCTCCCACAGGTTTTTACAGTGCAGGGTTCTGAAGCTTTCTTTTCCCACACTGGACCCCTGGGTTGCACAGTCTGTCTTGCTCCCCAGCTGTTCCTCCTGGCTTTTTCACATGCAAATGTGGGACCGCTTGGTCCGCCAGCCATCACCTTGCCTACAGGTTCCTCCAGCTTCTGCCCCGCTGTGTGTCCTCTCCGCCAAGGCTGCCTGTCTCCATCCCTCCTACTGGTCTGGATGACTGTTTCTTTAATTTCTTGGTTGTTGGGCTTCCACAGAGTTCGATATTCTGACAGTTCTGGTTATTTTTTGTTTTTAAGTTTGTTGTCCTTCTTCTGTTGTGCGAGAAGGCAAAGTATATTTACCTATGCCTGCATATTGGCTGGAAGTAGAAACAAACCCTAATCCCTGGAATATATAGATACTTTAGCCTTACATGGCAAAAAGGACTTCGCTGTTGTGACTAAGTTAAAGATGTTGAGATGGAGAGATTATCCTGCCTAATCCAGGTGGGCCCAATGTAACCACAAGGGTTCCTATAAGAAGAAAGAGGTCAAGAGTTAGAAGGAGATGGGATGGTGGAAGCAGAGACTGGAGTGATGCACTTTGAAAATGGAGGAAGAGACCATGAATGAAGGGAAGCAGGAGGCCTCTAGAAGCCAGAAAACACCGCAAAACATTTTTCCCTGAAGAATCCAGAAGGAACATAACTGTAGTGACGCCTTGATTTTAGCCTTATAAGGCTCCCTTCAGACTATTGACCTCCAGAACTATAAAAGAATAAATGTGCATTGTTTTAAGCCACTTCATTTGTAGTTATTTGTTATGGAATAATAGGAAACCAATACTGTGGCTCTGCTCAATGAGTTGAGAAAATTTGTTCCCTTGATTGTTTAAGATGGAAATCAATGTCCCCTGCAGTAAGACCACTCAGTTTCACTCTTGGAAATTCAGAAGCATATGTGGCCAATTTCTGACCATGATTCCTATCTCTCTGGAGTACAACTGAAGGAAAATGCTCTGGCATAGCTCTCAGCATCGCACCAAAGCTTTCACCAGGAAAAGATGATGAGATGAACCTTTTCACACTAAGTCTGCCTTTGGGGAAATGGTCTGCAACCCTTTGGCGGGTTCCAAGTCTGGGCAGGGGAAGGGGTCTATTTTTCTTGCCCTTGTCTAGGTGGTGCTATGGAGAACACAAAGCAAATGCTCTCTGGCATTTCCTGAATAATGTGGGTACAAAAGTAAAAAGAAAGACAAAACACCATAGTTCACATCTTTCTTTCCTTTTATTAAATGCCAAAGCACAGCTAGAGAACTATAAATGTGATATTTTCATCATCCAATTTACCCATTTGGAAAATGCAGTTTAATAAAGCCAGCTGGCTTAGTTCTAAGAGCAACAGAAGGAGAGTGGAAGGACTTAGAATCAACTGAGAATTAGTTCATGATGACTCTGGCTCTGTGTTTCTTCATCATCAAAAGGAAAAGATAAATTGGGAGTTCCTTTGTGGCTCTCAGATTTTATTTTTTTAATTGTATATAGGAAGTTACCGCTGGCTTGAGGAACAATCATCGAAACACACAACACTTGGGGGTGGGGTTCCCAAAAGCCTAATTTCTACTTTAGAAACATTTGTCCTCACGCTTGATTTCAGTGCCATTTCAAATCTCATGGAATCATACAGTATTGAAGGGGCCATGGAGACTGCCCACCCCAACACTTCATTTCACAGTTAAGAAAAACCAAAGCTCAGGGATGTTAAGTGACTTGCCCAGGTCTCAGAACTAGAAATGATGTCTTCTGGTTCACAAGCCAGAGCCCCTCCTACTCCTTCATCAACTCCCTAATGTTGTCATATATATATGTTGGGTGTTGGGTGCGTTGTAGAGATGAAAAGATCTGTGAGGCTTGACCGTCTTCATAGAAATAACTTAGGGTTGAGGTGTGGCCGCCTTTGTTGCACTGGCCACTGATGGTCACAAAATTGTTTCCTGAAGGAGACTGCTCTTACTGATTTAAAGCTTATATGCACAGAGTGGGGCAACCATCTGGGGAGAGGTTGAGTTCCGCTATTGAGGGGTTTTTCTTTTCTGGCTCTTATGCTCAGATAACACTCGGTTTTTCTTCTGAGAAACTGGGAAATAAAGACAAATAAGTCAGTTCCAAAATATCAGTTCTCCAAGGAATTGGCCCATAAAGAAAAACTCTCAGAGTCCCTCTATTCTTGTTCTAGTTCTGAAGCACCCAAAGTACACCTGATGGCTCAAGGGAGGGCCGGAGCGCCACGTCCGCCTCAGTTCTATGGCTGGCAATCACACGTAGCAGTAGGCGTTGACTTCAACCACCACACTCAGGTACCAAGAAATTATATTTTACCTTCCCTACCTTACACAAAAATCAGTTTTAGGTGGATGGAAGAGGTAAGTGTGAAAGGTAAAGCAATACAATTTTTAGGAAAAAATATAGGAGAATATCTTTATAACCTTGGGATTAGAAAAACTTTCTTAAACAGGTTATACATTGAAAGATTGGACTACATTGAAATCCAGAATATCTGTTCACCAAAAGACTATATACAAAGGGTAAAAAGGCAAGCCACAAAGTAGGAAAAGATATGTGTAATATTTATGTCTGTCAAAGGACTAATATTCAGAATACATAAAGAACTTCAATACATTGATAAGAAAAAGTTGGACACCTAAACAGAAAAGTGGGCAATAAGTTGAATGGGCACTGCATACCAACGCCAGGTCTTGTGTTGGGGTTTCATTTACGTAATAGTTTTGGGCTAGCATCAGTGAGAGTCCATTATCCATTGTACAATACATTTTGGGGTTGTTTACTGAGTGTAAGCCAAGATCAGTGAATCAGTTAGAAACACAAAGTTTGGTGGCTGATAAAGAAAAGATAAACAAATGTTTATGCAGGTGTTTAGTTATTTTCTGTGAGGTATCTTGGTGGAGCTAGGTGAGCTCTTTTTTCTTTTTAAAGTATTTTACTTATTTATTTTCAGAGAAGGGGAAGGGAGGAAGAGAAGGAGAGAAACATCAATGTGTGGTTGCCTCTTGCACATCTCCTACCAGGGACCTGGCCTGCAGCCCAGGCATGTGCCCTGACTGGGAATTGAACCGCCGACCCTTTGGTTCACCGGCCGGTGCTGAGTCCACTGAGCCATACCAGCCAGTGCTCTTATTTTTAGGGTGGCAAGTGGTGTTTTAATCAATGGACAGTTTGGGAGGGGGAAGCAGAAAAGGCAAGTGTGCTCTGGATGAATGAAGGTTATTGGTTATAAAGGGAGTTAACATTTTTATTCAAATATCCATTTAGTCCAATATGCCAGAAATTACCTCAGGGTGTTTTTTTGTTTTTGTTTTTGTTTTTTAACATTTAAAGTTATGATGAAAATATTTAGATGTCAACTTGATAATATTTGTGTGGGGGAGACACAGTTATTCAAAATTGTATAATAAGTTTACAATTAAAAAAAAATTGAAGACCAGTGGCCTCAAACTGGTCTGGAATGCAGGGATGGTACTTGGTGGAGGCTCTGCTGAGCCCCATTTGGATTTCAGGTCTTCAGAGTCCAGGAAAGGGGCACGTGGGTCTGGCACATGGATCTGGCACGTGCATGCTAAGTGTGACCCAGATGTTTCTGACTGATGGGACAAGTTCACCTTCTTCCCTCACCACACATTTTTAACTTCCAGAGTTTATCAAATTGGATGATGACTCAGGTGTTCTTATTTTCTGACTCATAGCCCTCTAGAGGGTAGTTGTCCTTATAAAAACTTACTTTCAAAAAAAATTAATGGCACACATAAAATCTGGCAGCACATATACTAAAATTGGAATGTTACAGAAATTAGCATGGCCGCTGCACAAGGATGACACACAAATTTGTGAAGCATTCCATATTTTTTAAACTCAGAATGCAATATACAGATGATGCATTGCTAAAGACCCTACCCAAGTTTTCACCTAATTGCAGCTCAGGCTTCTGGTGCTCCTGTGACGTATTAACTCGCAGTCCACAACAAAGGCACGTAAGTGTACCAAGAGAAACAAAAATCAAACACAAAGCTATTTTTTAGAATGTGTGTCTATGTAGGCATATTAAATTAAAGCCAATTAGCAATTATGGGAAATTCTGTTGTGAGGGCTTAAAGGATGAATTCAAGAGAATAGAAAGAGCTCTTGAGAGTGCTTATTAATCCAAACACATATTAAGCGGAGAATTTCACATGAGAATAAAAATCAATATGGAAATAGTAAAAATACAATTAGGAACGTATTTTTAGAGCATGCCAAGGTAACTGAAATAATAACTAACTGTTACCTGTATATCAGCACTTTACCTATTCAATCCTCACTTATGTTCCTGTGAGGGACATTCTTTGATCTCTATTTTACAGATGAAGAAATTGAACAGAGTGGTTAAAAAACTTGCCAGAGGAGATACAAATGCGAGAAGCAGAACTGATCCCTGGTACCTTTTCCAAAACCTTGTGACTCACCCTTTCGTTACAAGTTTTGTTCTATAAAAATGTCAATAACAAAAGAATGGATTATTAGCAGATTTAAAAAAATAAGTGCCTGACATTTTTATTGTGATAAAACACATGACATGAGATTTACTCTTGGCAAATTTAAGTGTCTGTCTCTTGATGCTGTAATACTTGATCTTCCCACAGTTCTCAAGACCAGCATTGCCCAAGGGAAATGTAATGAGTCACATATGTGACTACATTTTTTATTAGTCACTTAAAAAAACAAGTGAAATTAATTTTAATAATAAATTTTATTCCATTCAATATATGCAAAATATCATTTCAACATGTAGTCAATATAAAATTTAATACTGAGGTCATGATTAATAAATCAACAAACAGCAAGTGCTGGTGAGGTTGTAGAGAAAAGTGAACCCTAGTACACTGTTGGTGGGAATGCAGACTGGTGCAGCCACTATGGAAAACAGTGTGGAACTACCTCAAAAAACTAAAGATGGAACTGTCTTTTGACCCAGCAATTCCACTGCTGGACTATACCCTAAGAATCCTGAATCACTAATTCAAAAGAACCTGTGCACCCCACTGTTCACAGCAGCATTGTTTACAATAGCCAAGTGCTGGAAGCAGCCTAAGCGCCCATCAGTAAATGAGTGAATCAAAAAACTGTGGCACACGTACCCAGTGGAATACTACACAGCAGAAAGAAAGAAGGAGCTCCTACCCTTCGCCACAGCATGGATGGAACTGGAGAGCATTATGCTAAGTGAAATAGGCCAGGGGGTAAAAGACAAATACCATATGATCTCACCTATAAGTGGAACCGAATCAACAAAACAAACAAAAGAGCAAAATAGAACCAGAGACTTGAAAGTGGAGAACAATCTGACAGTGACCAGAGGGGAAGGGAGAAGGGGATAATGGGGGAAAGAAGGGGAAGGGGAAAGCAAAGGGACACGAACAGAGGACTCATGGGCACGGACAATGCGGGGGATTGACTGTGGGAGTCAGGGGGACAGGGTAGGAGTGAGCAATGGGGAAAAAGGCAGGGCAACTGTAACTGAACAACAATAAATTAAAACAAAAAGAAAGCAAAAAATGAAAAACAATAAACTTAATACTGAGATATTTTAAATTCTTTGTTTCTGCAATGTGTTTGAGATAAGTGTGTATTTTACATTGACTGCATATTTGAATTTGTTTTTATTATTTTTAAAAATGTATTATAATTGTCATATCATATTTATATTAGTTTCAGGTGTACAACATAGTGATTCAACATCTATACACCTTAAAAGTGATCACCACAATAAGTCTAACTGCAAAGTTTGATTTAGGTGCTTGATTTTCATCAGAAATGTTTAATCTGTGTTTAGATTTCATAAAATTTATAGTTGAAAAAGTGCCAAAGTTAGGCAAAGACTTCTCATAACTGATTATAGCATCAATTTTTAAATTTAACAAATTAAATAAAATTAATATTCAGTTTCTTGCCCTTGCCAGCTGCCCCAGAAGATATTCTAACTCCAGTGGTAAGTAGTCAACATATATTTGTGGACGGAGTGTGCAGAGAGGATGGAAATCAGGTGGTTAGGATATAAACTGCTGGGAATAAATCATCAGATTCAACAGCAGGAAAATTCACACCCTAGGAATTACAGATTAAAAAGGAAATCTGTAGATAATAAACCAAATAACATCAGTCACTATATAAAATTTAGGAAATACTGACAAATGAGAAGAGGAAAATTAAAATTTCTTCATCCTGTGCTAATACTGCTAACATATTTGTGTTTATACTTTAAAGTCTTTTTTCTTCTGCATCTGTTTACAGATGTAGGTTTCAAATGGTATGTCCATTTTTTTCTACAATAGCTGACATTCCTATAGTTACATTTCTCATATAACTCATATAGTCTAATAATTATTTTCTTACAATAAATTCTTTAAAAACTTGCTGAGCCAAAGGATTTGCACCTTTCCAAAGCTTCTGAAACATGACCCCAAATGGCCTTTCAGAAAGGCCAGTTTGCTCCATAGGAATTCAATATCACAAATACAGTGAAATGGGAGGTGCTCATTCTCTACCAATAATGTAATCACTTAAGAAATGATGGTGGGGGTAAGGGTGAAACAGGTAAAACTTTTGTTTTTCTTCTATCTCCTCTATGCTGGACTCTCAACCCACAGGGGTGAAAAGGAAATGATTTGATGAAATACTAAAGAGAGAGTTTAACTAATCTGTCCTTGGTGATTTCAGTCTAATTAGCAGATGAACACACACACACACACACACACATACACACATACACAAAAGGAGTGGGGAGAAGGGGCCGCCTTTACAGCATACTTACACATCTGGGAGGCATGCTTCTCAATTAGGTGCCAAAGGGCAGCAAGGCTCAAAGTTGGGTCTCCTGACTTTTCCACTTACTTCAGAGCAAGTAGGAGGTGTGAGGTCAGTCAAAGGGCAGTGTGGAGGTGGGGCGCTCCACTTTGATAAGAAGTGGGGTAGAGCATGAGAGGCTGGGGTGCTGCATTCCAACCCAGACCCTGGCTCCAGCCTGTTGTCCTAGGGGGAGGACAACCAAGATTCTGAACATAGGTCTTATGATCATTCACAAAGGTGATTGGAGCTGGATAGAGAACACTCATTTTTAGGAAGCATCCTGACATTCATTACCTGGCCCGAGCTTGGCTTTCTAGCCTATTTGTTATTATCTGTTGGACATTCTAGGCCCCACTCAACTACCCTGCCCAACTTTTCTCTGGGCACCCAGTGCCCACACCAGGTGAGTGCTCCACACCCATATGGCAGACTGGCCACCTCCCTGGGTGACCTTTCCTCCATGGCTGAGGAGCTCCACTGACCTCAGGATGCCTGGCTTTGGAAGCTGCCTCTGTGGTAGGACACTGATAGAGGCATGGAGGGAAGGGGGAGAATCGACTCTTCCTCTCCAAGCTGGCATTTAATTTGGCTTTTTCATTTTGCTTTTTTATCTTTCCATTGCTCAGTTGCTCATGAATATCTTGGGCAAAAACATCTTCCTAAAACACAGGAGACTGAGTTCTCAACCATGGCCTCCACTGATAGAAACATACCCACACAGTTGGTGGAAACTGGGCAGGGTCAGGATAGAGAAAGGCAAGGCTCATTAAAAGGAAAGAAGAGTGTAGCATGTAACCCACCTGGGATTTGTGAGTAGTCTTCTGCTTCTTCCCTACCCCTTCCCTCCCATTAGTGCAGCCCATCCTGCTGGGGTCCCCCTCTCCCAGGAAGCCACCAGAGACCCCATGCATGCCTGGGTTTCCTCTGAGCTCACATAAGATGCACTTGGATCTGAGGGAGCCAAGTAGCCAATCAGATGATGCCAGTCCGGTCCTCCCAGGGTGGTCATTGCTCACCCTTGAAGGCTTTCTAAGGTAAGTGCCTTTTCCTCTTCATAGAGCTGAGATTTTCTTCCAGACTTTCTGAGTCTCTTATCAGTTGGGTGAAACTTGCAGAGAAAAAAAAAAAAAAAAAAGAATGGACCAGTGGACACACTGATGATGCGCTGCGGCCTTGACGACTGCCGGGGTGGGGATGTGTGTGCATTGGGGCTGGGCGTGTCACTCAGGCCTTGATTCAAATTCGGGGCTCGCTCTGCGGCAAGCATATGATGTTTGGCAAGTAACTTCCCAAACTTGCCAAAGTTTGAGCCCAGGATCCTCCAGCATAGAAGGGAGGGAATGAGATAAAGACTTAACTATTGAGAGCCACTGTGACTGAGGTATTCATCCCCTCTTCGGACAAATGTTGCCAAGAACACATCATATTGGGGAGATTCGCCAGCTGGTTGAGAGCCTTTAAAGATACCTGGGAAGAAATGGGCCTCTGGGCTTGAGGACAGCATGAGACAAAGGCAGGTTACTCCACCCTTCAGAGCCTCTGCCCCATCCTGAAAGGCAATGAGCAGACTGAGTCTTGCTCTTCAGGTTCAAATGTGTCTAACAGGAGACTTGGGGGACCAGAGTTGAGACTAAATAAGGAGGTCTTGAGAGGACAGGAAGGCCCTTGAGGGTCCCCCCACATAGTTTTGAAAGAACACTGGCCTCCCCTGCAGGAGGAATGTCCCATAAAGCTTCCAGGCATCAAGCTGTGAGCAGACCGTCTCCACTGCAATGAGCCTCCCCTGTGTCCCTCTGTCCAAAGGGTGCTGTGCTCTTGGGAGAAGATGGTCTTCACCAGCCAGCTCTGCCTGAGGACAATCAAGCAAAGCTGGGCAGGGATCCTGAGGAGGCAGATTTCGGTTAGCATGATTCTCCGAAAGCTTAAGGGGTGTTCAGCCATTCAGAACCCATCACTTTGCCATTATTTTGTTATACGGGGCAACATTTTCTAAGGATTTCAAATTCAAAAGCAGGCTCACTGGAT